GTGCAAAGGAGGCTGCTGGGACGTTCGGGTCCCCGAAGACCTGCACCCGGGACTTGGGTCCCCAACGCAGCAGTGGAGACCTTCCCGCGCCCAGCGAGGGGTGGGGTTCGGGGTGGGGGTAGGGAGGAATGAGCTCCCTCGAGAAAATAATGACGATGACTATGCTAACAGTAATAACGGCTGCAGTCATCAGTCTCCCGCCTTTCCTGGAGTGGCATCGCTCGCCTGATCTGAGCCAGGTAGTGGGAAGAACGTCCAGCCCAGGGCAGAGTGGGAAGTGGACGCCTGAGGGTCGGGAAGACCTACTTAGTATAAGAAAAGGAGAGCGATGGGTAGCCAGGGCGGAATTGAATGGAAACTGACCAGGGCGTGGGGGCAGGGAGGGAGGAATCCGTGCTTGGGGTCCTGATCCTCTCGGGAGGCCCCATTTAACTAATTTGCATCCAGACGGGGCCATTCCTGGGGTGTGTGTGGGCAGGTCAGTACCGGGGTTAATTAGGTCTGGGGTCTTCACTGTTAACTTGGTAACTTACCTGGTTTCCCACCCTTGCAACGGAAGTGTTAGCGAAATGTTTGTGCACTGATGCGGTCATTCCCATTTTCTTGAAAGTGAGTGCTGAGGCCCCAAAGAAGGAGATCTCTGAATCTGCTGTCCCTGCCATTGACCGAAGTGATGGGCACTTTAGTTTTTCTAGTGGGGAATGGGTTTGGACCTTTTTTCCTGAATCCTGGGCAGGAAATCCTTGGCTTGGAGACTGAAAGGATAAAGGACTCTCAGACTTGGTCATCAGGGAGAATGGATAATGCCTGCTTTGGCTGTCTTGGCCACACCCTATATGACCTTTCTCAGACCAGTTTCTTATCAGGTCACGCCTTGCCTCCCAAATCTCCAACGGCTCCCCTGTGCTAGCTGAAGACACTACCCTTCTGCACAGGGCAGGAGTGAGGGCCTTGGCTCTGTGGTCAGACCAGTGGGTTTGCTCCCTTTTGCTGACAGTCATCAGCTGGCACCCAGTAAATGATTTGGCATCTTGCAGCTTCAGTTTCCTCTTCAGGAAAATGGGTATTGTGCTGCTATGACCAAATCTGTTTTTTTTTTTTCCCTAATGGAGAAACAGAGCCTATGCTGGCCCACTTTTAATTTTGTTTTATCCAGGGATTTAACATAACTCTTTGGCGACTTGTTTAATTCCCAGCAGTCCTTTATTAAGTCCTAGCCCTAGAGAGGACACTCCAGTGTTAACCTAGGTTGGGGGAAAGCCCTGGGGGCTGATGACCCTTGACTAAACTGGGAATGCAGTGATCAGATACAGTACACAAATCTATGTCTCTTAATCCCATTCACCTCAGTAGTAGTGAGATACAGAAAAGGTATAAATCTCATCAGTCCCATTTACTGCAATCTGGCCCATCAGGCAAAAACCCTGGCTCTGTTCAGTTCATTAGCAAATAGTGAGGGCCCTCAACTCTCAAAACCTACCCTAATTGACCACTTCTCCCCACCCGCACTGCCCCCACCCTGTCCCAGGCACCCTCACCTGCCACCCAGAGGATCGCGGAAGTGGTGTCCTCATGGGGCTCCCTGCTTCTCCCTCTGCGCCTCACAATCCAAGCCTCTGCAGCAGGCAGAGGGATCCTGTGAACCCGAAAGTCAGAGCCTGCCTCTCCCCTGCTCAGAACTGGCCCATGGCTCCTGACTCTATGAGAGTAGAGACCCAAGTTCTCACCATGGTCGGTCCTCAAGACCCCTGCATGCTCTCCCTCTGCCCCCACCTGCACACTGGCCTCCTTGCTGAGCCTCAGTCACCTTTCTATGAGCTTTGCATTTGCTGTTCCCTCTGCCTGGAATGCTTTCCCCTAGATCGCCACGTGGATCCTTATAACCTTATCAGGGAGCTCTTCCCTGAGCCCCTTCCGGAAACCACCTCTTACCCTCCAGGCAGGCCCAGGTGTCCCCTCTGGGCTCCCAAGTCCCCCTGAGCTCCTTTATTCCAGCCCTGCCCACTCTGGGTCATCACTGTCTGCAGACTGAGTCTGTGTCATCGCCTGGACTATGAGCCCAGGAGGGCAAGGCCAGGCTCTTTCTCTCCCAGCTGTGTCCCTAGCACCATCCAGCATGGGCTGGGCACAGAGCAGGCGCTTGAATATTGGGGGTTAGTGGGTGCTTCCACAAATATTTACTGAGTTCCCCCCGATTGCCAGGCTCTAAAGGGCTGGAGATGGAGTTGTAAAGTAATCAGACATGTCCCTTCTCTCAAAGGCTTATGTTCTGTGGCAGAACATAGGCAAACAAGGGGGGAAGGTATAGCTCAGTGGTAGAGCACATGCCAAGCATGCAGAAGTCCTGTGTTCAATTCCCAGTACCTCTATTAAAAAAATAAACAAGTGTAAAAAAAAAAAAAGAACACAAGCAAACAAATAAATACATATTGTCAGGAGGTGATAATGCTGTGAAAGGCTATTTTCCTCCCTGTAAAGGCAATGTTTGAGCAGTGACCTGAGTGAAGTAACAGAGGAAGGTGTATCTGGCAACATATATGTCTCCCATACGGAAGAGATTTCCAGATAGTAAGAATAGCATGTGCCAAGGTCCTGAGGCAGGAATGTGCTTGGCATGTTCAAGGACTAACAACAGCGACCGAAGGGTAGGAAGTGAGAACAGAGAGGTAATAGGGCCTTCTAGCCATTGTGAGGACTTTGGCTTTTGCTCTGGGAGAGGCGGGAGCCATGGGAAGTGCTCTGAACAGAGGAGGGGTGTGATCGTACTTAGTTCTAACAAGAGGATCCCTCTGAGCAAAGTGGGGAACAGACTGGGATGAAGATGGGGGTCAGGAGCCCAGTGTGGAGGCAACTGAAATAGTCCAGATGGGAGGTGATGGTGGCTGGACCAAGGAGGGGCAGAATAAGGGTGGTCAGAAATTCCCAGATTCAGGATGCATTTTTTTTTTTAATGGAGGTACTGGGAATCAAACCCAGGACCTCCTGCATGCTAAGCATGCTCCTACCACTGAGCTATTACCATCCCTTCCATGCATTTTTGAAGGTGGAGCTGATGAGCTTTACTGAAGGATTGGCTGTAGGTAGGAGAGAAAGTGAAGAGTCCAGGATACCTTGGGATGTCCTTTGCCTATGTGATCACCAGCCTCCCCCTGAAAGATTCTTCTGACAGCCTTAGAGGGTCTTTGTATGTTTTATTTCACAGATGAGGATCCAGAGCAGGGAGGCAGCTCCAAGAATTGCAGTCATTTGCCTAGATTGCTAGTAGTGAGTCCGGGAAGGCTAGGACCCACCTGGTGTCCCTCAGTCCACACCTCCATCCTCTGTGCCTGGTGGTAAGCTGTGGCCTGTTGCTTGTTCTTGTGTGGATTGAGAGCTCAGAGTGGATTTTACATTTTTAAGTAGTTGGAAAACTTTAAACAAATTTTCTGCAGCTCATGAAAGTCTATATGATTCAGATATCAGTGTTTCAACAAGTAAAATTTTATTGGCGCGCAGCCATGTTTCCATAGTGTCGGGCTGTTTTCTTGCTACTCTGGCACTTATGAAAGAGAGCCTACGGCCCACGACTCCTAATATATTTACCATCGGGCCCTCTAGAAAGGAAATTTGCTGACCTCTGCTATCTGTTCTGCTAATAAGGATTCAATTTGGGCAACCAATAGGGGTATCCGATTAGTGGGACTTGGCAGCTAGTCACCCAGGGGCTGGGAAAGGTCTGGGTCAGACAGAAAGAGGTTTAGGGAGAGGGTGACAGTAAGGATAGGTGAAGAAGTTCAGATTTCTGAGGGAGGATCTAACTTGGGGACATGGAAGCATTACAGTATGTCCCATCCTTTTTATTTTTAAATTTATTATTATTATCATTTTTTAATGGAGGTGCCGGGGATTGAATCCAGGACCTCATGCATGCTAAGCATGCGCTCTACCACTGAGCTATACCCTCCCCCAATCCCATCCTCTTTAAAGTTAGAATTTAAAAATTCTTTTGAATAGGTCATACAAATTCAAAACAGATACAACTTCAAACAGAATTCAAAAGATACAAAAAGGTAGGCAGCCAAAAGTCTCCACCCCGGATCCTTCATGGACTGAATGGCCCGTGTGCGTGTGTGGTGTTCATTGTTACCGTGCAGCTGCCCCTCTATGAGGGATCTGAGAGGTTGTGAATCTGTTCATGTGTTCAGTGATCATCTTACGTGCCCTCCACCTGTCTGTCTACATCAGTGGTTCTCAATCAGATGTGATTTGGGGGGACATTTGGCAATATATGGAGAAATTTTTCTTTTTCCCTTAACGGAGGTAGTGGGGATTGAACTCAGGACTTGTGTGTGCCAGGCACGTGGTCTATCACTGAGCTCTACCCCCCACCCTCTGTTTTTTTCAAATGGCTTTATTGGAATTGTAATTCTCCTACCAGACTATTCACCAATGGAGACATTTTCAGTTGTCACAAGTTGGGGGAGGGATGTCGGACACTGCTGGCATCTAGTGGGTAGAGGCCAGGGGTGCTGATAAAACCTTCCACCTAAGCACAGGACAGCCTCCCACAGTGCGACAGGGAATGATCCAGCCCCAAAAGTCAACAGTTAATCACTTTAAAGAGGGGGGACAAAGTCACAGGGCAGCCTGAAACTTCGGTCCTTCTCTCTTTCTCTTCCTGCCTACAAAGCCAGCATTTCCCTGCATGCCATCAACATCAGTGCAGTGACACGTAATATGTTACAGGCGACTGCTAAGCTTGCACATTTGTTAGGTCATTTAGTCCCCATGACAACCCTGTCAAGTTGGTCCTCTTTTTTTTTTAAATGGCGGTACTAGGGATTGAACCCAGGACCTTGTGCATGCTAAGTATACCCTTTACCACTGAGTTATACCCTCCCCCCATGTTGGTCCTCTTTGCACCCCCATTTTACAGATGAGGAAACTAAGTCACAGACTGGTTAAGCAACTTACCCTCGGTCACATGGCGATACTAATACAGTTGTTATTCAGCTGTAACTAACTCTTATGGAGAACCTAGTATGTAGCAGGCCCTGCATGAGGCTGTGAATCCTCATAACAAGCAAAGGTGGCAGTAGGTCCCATTTCTCCTCCATGTAGTAGAGGAGGAAAATGTCTCTTGCTTGAGGTCACCCAGCTGAGCAGACCTGGGAGCTCAATTTCCTCTCCATTCATTGGAGCAGAGACAGTATTTCAGGAGCCTGGTCTCTGTGCCACTCAGTGTTCCAGGAGCTGGTGATACAGCCATAGGCAAAGAGCAAGGTTCCTGCCTGTGGAGAGGCAGCCATCTCACAGGGAAGAAAGATCATAAGCAGAAAAGTGAATATACCAGGTCATGTCCAGGAGTGATGTGTGTGCTGCAAAGAATGATAAAGCTGACTGAGGGGATGGACGGGGCTGAGGGGCGGATCTTTAGCACAAGATGGTCAGGGAAGAGACAGAGGAGGTACAGGCAGAGGGGACTGCAAGGCCCACGAAGGGACTGTGTCAGGGTGCTCAAGGACCAGAGAGGAGGCCAGTGCGGTTGCGTGGTGCTGGAGAGGCTGAGAGTGCTGGCAGGATCCAGAGCACACAGGGCCTTGAGGGCTGCGGTGAGGACTTTGGTCTTGACCCTAACTGAGATGGAAGCCAAGGGAGGGCTCCAAGCAGAGGAGGGATGTGATCTGACTTGGGTGTTAACAGAGTCCCTCTGGGTGTGTTTGGGGACAGACTAGCAGGTGAGGAAGGTGAGAGTGGGATACTGGTGAGGAGTTGACATCAGCAGTCCAGGCCTATGCAGTGATGGTGGCTGGACCAAGATGCTGGCAGTGGAGCAAGTGAGACATGTTACGTTGTGAGTATATATATATATATATATTTTATATTCCTCTACTCCCAGGCCTTTCTTTGTCTTTTATGATCTTGATATTTTTGAAAAATCAAGCGAAGTTTTTTGAAAAGAATGTCCCTCAATTTGATTAGATTCAGGTCATCCATTTTTGGCAGGAATATCACAGAAGTAGTGCCCGGTCCTCAGTGTGTCACATGAGGGTACATGAGGTATTTATTGGTCCCATCACTGCACATGTTGGCTTTAAAAGCCCAAGTTAGGGTGGTGTCCACCAGGTTTTTCCACTATAAAGTTACTCTTTCCTCTCGACAAGGAATACCTTGTGAGGAGGTACTTTAAGACTGTGTAGCCAACCTGGACCTACTCAGATGTTCTTCCACAAGTGTTAGCATCCATTGATGATTCTGGCTGCCACTGTATGGTAAGGATTTTCCCCTTCCCCCTTTATTTATTTATAATAAGCATGGACTCATGGATTTCTGTTTTATTCAATAAGTTATAATCTGTAACTATCATTTTATGAATTGTTCCAGAGTTGGCCCTTTCAGTCTGGCTCCTGGGTGACTGGGAATTTATTTGGAAGATAGTACTTCCTGATGGATTGGATGGGCTGTGTGTGAGAGAAAGGAGGCCAGGGTTTGTTCTTTCAGCAAATATTTGTTGCCAGGGAATGGGGGTAAAGCTATGATAAAAGCAGGGCAAAGGCCCTGCTCTCATGGACCTTGTGAACGGTGGGCCAGGTCCTGGGAAGGAGGGTACTGGAGGAGGGATCAGGATTTGGGTTTTGGACAGGTTGAGATGGGGTAGATGGGGGTAGACAGGCCTCTGTGCCTATTCCTCCTTCTTCCTGTAACCCCAGACTCCTCATAATGGCTCCCTATTCCTCTTCTTCACCCAGCAGCCAGGATAATGCAGACTCCACCGGCCATTCCTGTGCCTGTGCTCCGGCTCCCTCGGGGCCCTGATGGCTTGAGCCGAGGCTTTGCCCCCGATGGACGCAGAGCCCTCCTGAAACCGGAGGTTCCTGAAATCCCGGAGTCTCCTGTAGATCAAGAATCACGGGAATCCCAGGAACAGCGGGCCCGGGCTGTCCTTCGGGAGCGCTACCTCCGAAGCCTGCTGGCTATGGTGGGTCGCCAGGTGAGCTTCACATTGCACGAGGGTGTGCGTGTGACCGCCTACTTCGGAGCCACCGACCTGGACGTGGCCAACTTCTACGTGTCTCAGCTGCAGACTCCGATAGGTGTGCAAGCTGAGGCGCTGCTTCGCTGTAGTGACATTATTGCATATACCTTCAAGCCATAAAGATGGAATCATGTTCATCTTTCCACCTTGGGTGTAGCCACAGTCTCCTAGGGCTCCGTGTGCTCATGAACTTGGAACTCTGGGCCTCATAGAGTTCTGAATTCCTTTGGAATTTTGAGCCAAGCTCCAAGCAACTCTGGCTTCTTGGGACCTCCGGGGTGTAAGTCAGTAAAATTCTGCAACCCCAGGAGTTCTAGATCCTGTTGAAAGGAATGCTCTACCTCACAGAACTCTAAACTCTACAGATATATGGGCCTCATGACAGTTCCTGAAGACTGGGGTTGGGGGTGGGGCAGGGAGGGAGGGATAAAGGAAGGCAAATTGTTTAGTGGGAAACTGTGTGTTGAGGTTCAGGCACCCTGAAAATATTCCCCAATATTCCCCTCCTGCCAAAGAACCCATTATCCCAGGAAAATTTGCCTCTTTTTTTTTAATGTACCCTGCAGGGATCAAACCAGATTTAGGGAGTGGAAGGTGGCTATACAAAGGCAGAATACAGTGGAGCTGGGTCAGGATGGGGAGGACACACCAAGGGAGTGGGAGGAATGCGGATAAGGGTGCGGGGACTGAACCACCACTGGTCTCTGGGATGGCTGGAGTGACCTGGATGCCAGACTTCTGAGATTTGGAGTCGAGTTCTTCTCCAGGTGGGCGGGCATGTACGTACCGAGGGGTGCGGCTCGCATTGGGTCACATGATCGTGCACAAGCACTCCTCCCACTACCTGAGTGGGCGGATTCGCTTTCCTGCCCCTACAGGGACCCGTAGGACCCTGCGTGGCGGTACCATTGAGAAAAGGCAGAGAATTAGGGGTTAGGGTGAAACTTCACGCCTTCGCCATTTTTTGCTTCAGCTGTATAACGTGGCTGTCCATAGCATTCGCTTCACTTAGACCCATTACTAGTAGTCTTTCAGAAGATTTACTCTAAAAAAATAATTTCTGCCCCCATTGTAGTCCCATCAACTTAAGAATGTAAGTGAAGAATCCATTAAAATGTAGATGAGATTTGCTTTTTTCGTCTTCAATCGTGAAAGTGCGGCGGCCAATGAAGTTGAATGGAGCAGGTGAAGAGCCTCAGCTCCCACTTGTCCATTCAATACGCTGCCTCTGGGGACTCCCGGGCCTAGCTTTCGAGTTACCTTGGCAACGACGTCGCTCGCCCCTCCTCACGTACACCCACCCTTTTTTTGTTTTAACCTCCGCCTTCCCGGAGTTTCCTGATGGGCTGGGATGGCGTGGCGAAAGTGCGGAGGCGAATGTTAAGCGACTGAGTTGCGTTCTTATGGGGGTGTGGCTTGAGTTCGTGCTGGTTTGCTACTGGCTCGGTGATCTACCTGGTCCATCACCCGGTATTATGGTTGGCAGATTCGTCCGTTGCTTTTGGAATTTCTTTGTCTTTTTTTGTTTTTAATTAAAATCACTCCTCATGGGCTCATATTTCAGATTTTAAATTTAAATTGTATTTTATACAACGCTATCCAAATGATGTTTATTGATGATGCGTTATTGATGAAACTGCAGTCTGCAAATGGAAGGCTAGAGACTAGCGAGTGGGGACAGGCTTCGTCTCCAAGCAGAGGATCCCTGTCAGCATCCATCACCTGTACTCATATACTCAACACAGCTCCTATCGCCTTTCCTTTCAAGTTCTCCATCCCTTTACTTCTCTCCTTGTCAGTTGGCCTAGCCCCACCAAACTGATGTTTTTATTTCTATCAACTCGATTCCCTTCTCCGTTGCCTGAGCTCGTGACGAACGCGTGCGAGCCTATTTAGTTACCTAGATTCAGGCGGGGAGGCGGGGTGGGGGCGGTTCAGGTTCGCGCTTGCGCGCTGCTCTGGGAGACGGCGTCCATCTCGCCCCGCCCCTCATATTCTGCAGTTCCGGCTCTGCAGATTCACTGCTCACGTTTCTTTTTCCTGTGGCTCTTTCTGCCTTCTGTCCCCTCCATTGACAACTCACTTGACAACGCTACCTGTCTGTAGCTTACACTGATTTTCTGCTCTTCTGAGTAAGCGGCAGGCTCAACGGCTCTTAACGAAAGTGCGGCTGCGAACGGGCAGGTACGCATGGGGCTCGGGGGAGGCGCGCTCGAGCTCCCGGCGGCGACGACTACGACGACCAGCAGAGCGGACGGAGGCGGTGCCTGAAGCAGTGGCGGAGCCCATGCCCCGGGAAAGCGGGAGGGCCCGGAGAGACAAGTCCGGGGCCCGGGGCATGTCCCCGGGGCCCCCGTCGAGGAGGAGGCGGCGGCGGCGATGGAGAC